AAAAAAGGTGAAAAAAAGAAATATAGTAATACTGGTTTGTTGTTCTTAGCATCTTTGAATAAATAACTACAGAAAATGAGCTCAAAGATTCACATTCTTGGGCAAATCACTTGGGACGCCTTTTGTCTGTCTTGGACAGAAGCTTTCTTTCCCCCAATAAATATATTCTGCTCTCAACCTCTGTTGTTCCTACAATTCATTCTTCTATTTTAGAGAACATGAACTCATACTGGACATCCAGCAGCTTGGGAGTTTCTTTTCCCTATTTCATTTGGAAGTCTTCTAGCAAGATCATTGGACAGAGGTTAAGGGTTTGCTTTTGTTTCATAGACTGGATTGGGACTCATTTAGGTAACAAATTTTTATCATTCAAATTTTGTTATGTCTTCGCCCATTGCTTATAATTGCTTATGCATGGTCTCTTATATAGTTTTGTTAAAACGATAATAAATCTAAGTTAAAACATGGGACAGTTATAAGGTTAAGTACTTCTTTAATGTGACTTTTTATTCCTGTTTTGTTCTTGTATATGTTGCATTTGAACTAGCAGTAAATTTACGGGTATTCTTTGCTTGACTTTATTTAGACAAAAGCGCTAGAGAGAGTAACATTAGAATGCCCCTTAGTAGACTTTAATATAAACTTCTGTAAAATGGGCCTTTCTAAATAAAAATCTATCTCAGACTTAGAAAAATACACATGCCAAAAAAAAAAGAAAAAGAAAAATACACATGCCTATATAATAAAACATGGGACTCCTTCCACCAGTTAAAAGATGCTAGGTTAGTGGCTGTTCTTAAGACTTGGAGGGCAAGTTTCACTGAGACAGACTGCCTCTGACCTCCTCTACACTCTAGAGGAACTGTCAAGCCTGTTCTACTTCAGTTTCCTTTCTCTAGCCTTATTTCTAATCTTTTCCTGCCACTTTGTACTCTCCTTTTTAGAGGTATGTAAAATTAGAAAGGAAAGAACTCTAGACTGTTCCAAACTTTTTCTCCTATTGAACAACTAAGTTAAGCCCATAGAAAACAAGCATTGCTAACACCAAAGACAGGGATGTCATCTTAGAGCAGGGACACATACCTTATCTCTGGGTCAGATGAGACAATGGAATTTTGCCCATCCAGGAGAACACACATAAAAGCTATGTCCTGGCTTAGTGTCCTGGGCAGGTCCCCCTCGGAAGACTAAACCTAAGACACAGTGGAAAAGAATCAGCTTCTAGGTGAAACCAGAAGGAGCTATTTCCAAATCACTACATTTACGGGACCAAAACACATTTAGCCTAAGAGAAGATCTCCAATCTTTCCTGTTCTCCTCGTAGGTCTAGTTATCATGTACATGTATAGAAAAAAATACTTGGATAACAAGTTGTGGACTTTAAAACCTCACACCCCCCCATCCAAGAACATCTGACAGTGTTGAAACACAGCAAGCCCCAAACTGAAGCCATCATATGGACCTGCTCTCTAGCCGTTTTTCACTTCTCACCTGATGGCAGCAGCATCTTTCCTTGCATGCAGTCCAAAATCAAGAAGTGCGTCACAACATTTGTATTTGTATTGCTACTTATTAATTCATTTGTTTTTTGAGACAGGATCTTGTTACGTAGTTTAGGATGGCCCTGAGCTCACTATGTAGCCCAGACTGGCCTCATACTCATGGGGATCCTCCTGCCTCAGCCTCCTGAGTGCTGGGATTACAGATGCGCACTACCACACCACCTCTATTTGTTTTGGGCAGTTCTGGAAATTGACTCAGAAGGGATATTTTTGGTTTTAATCTAATTTTGGAGGCACGATCTTGGTAAATTGCCCAGAATGACCCTGAACTTGTGATCTTTCTGCCTTACCCTCCCAAGTAGCTAGAATAACCACCTGGGATGCCTAGCCTAGATGCTGCCTTTATTATTCCAGCTGCCACTCTGAAGTCATACTGAGATGCTGGTTATATTCTAACAGTTTGTGTATACACACAGAATTTGTGGAATTAGCTTCTGTATGTACACTTGGAAATAAAAATGTATTTATCACTTGGACAATTATCTTCATGTAGCCCTATAAGTCGCAGTACCTGGCTAAGGAATACTGCCTACTTGAGCAGGGCAATACTGCTTGGAACAGCATCTCCTGAAGGATGGATGCCAAGTATCACACATACTTCCACCTGCCTGGTACTTCTCCCACTGCAAGGTGCATTATTTGTGAACTACTTACACCTGAATCTAAAACTCTGAAGAAATCACAGATATTAAAGAGAAACAGACCTGGACAGTGTTAAAGGCAGCAAAGATTGATTTTACTAAGTAGTACTGCCAAAGGGAAAGAGACTTCAGTGTGGATTTGAGCCCAGTTATGCATACAGAAAAATAAACATGGACATTTATATCCAACGAACACAGTGAGGGGTCAGTGGCTGGGAAACTTCTAAGAGGAGATCTCAAGTTCAAGGCATCCTACACTTAATTAAGAGGATAGCGTCCAACAAAGGCTTTGCCATATTCTGTGCATTTGTAGGGTTTTTCACCAGTATGAAAACTGGTGTTGAAGCCTGGAGCTTTGATCAAAGGCTTTCCCACATTCTTCCCATTTGTAGAGTCTCTCCCCAGTATGAACTCTCTGGTGTTGAGTAAGGCTTGAGCTTTGATTAAAGGCTTTCCCACATTCTGCACATTTGTAGGGCTTCTCACCAGTGTGAACTCTCTGGTGTTGAATAAGCCTAGACCTTCGATCAAAGGCTTTGCCACATTCTGCACATTTGTAGGGTTTCTTGCTAGTGTGAACTCTCTGGTGCTGAATAAGGCTTGAGCTTTGGTCAAAGGTTTTGCCACATTCTGCACATTTGTAGGGCTTCTCACCAGTGTGAATTCTCTGGTGCTGAAGAAGTCTGGAACTTCGGTCAAAGGTTTTCCCACACTCTTCACATTTGTAGGGTTTCTCCCCAGTGTGACCTCTCTGGTGCTGAGTAAGGCTTGAGCTTGCAACAAAGGCTTTACCACATTCCTCACATTTATAGGGTCTCTCACCAGTATGAAGTCTCTGGTGTTGAGTAAGCCTAGACCTTCGATCAAAGGCTTTGCCGCATTCTGCACACTTGTAGGGCTTCTCACCAGTGTGAACTCTCTGGTGTTCAGTAAGGCTTGAGCTTCCAACAAAGGCTTTGCCACATTCTATACACTTGTAGGGTTTCTCACCTGTATGAACTCTCTGGTGCTGAGTAAGTCTGGATCTCTGATCAAAGGCCTTGCCACATTCTTCACATCTGTGGGGTTTCTCACCAGTATGAACTCTCTGGTGTTTAATAAATATGGATCTCCGACCAAAGGCTTTTCCACATTCTGCACATTTGTAGGGTTTCTCACCAGTATAAACTCTCTGATGTTGAATAAGGCTTGAGCTTTCAACAAAGGCTTTGCCACATTCTTTACACTTGTACGGTTTCTCTCCAGTGTGAATTCTCTGGTGTCGAGTCAGGTGTGAGGACACTCTAAAGGCTTTGCCACATTCTTCACACTTGTACGGTTTCTCTCCTGTGTGTACTCTCTGGTGTTCAATAAAGTTTGAGCATAGACGAAAGGCTCTGCCACATTCTTTACACCTGTAGGGTTTCTCTCCAGTGTGAACCCTCTGGTGTTCAGTAAGGCTGGAGCTTCCAACAAAGGCTTTGCCACACTCCTCACATTTGTAGGGTTTCTCACCAGTATGGAGTCTCTGGTGTTTAGTAAGTCTGCAGCCTCGATTAAAGGCTTTGCCACATTCCTCACACTTGTAGGGTTTCTCACTGGTGTGCACTATCATATGTTTTGTAAGGGATGAGCCTCTACTAAAGGCTTTGCCACATGCTTTACACTTGTGGGGTGTCTCGACTGTATCAATTTTCTGCTGTTCAGTGTATTTTGGATGAGACTTCACAACAGCTGAGGCTAAAGGAAAGTGATTATTACATCAGAAAGTGATGATCACAGTACCCCATACAGTTCACTGGAGTAAGGAGAGACTCTGAAGTCTAAGATGAAATACAGGTAAACCATTTTAATGGGAAAACTACAAACAAATATAGAGAAGACACACAACAAAATAGGTTTGAGAAGCTTCACAAATTTCTAATCCAACAAACTGTTGTTCAACCCATACAGATTGGGACAAATTACTGTTTTGTATTTTTTTTAACTTTTATTGTTATTTATTTAAATTGTTATATACCGACAATAAACATCGTGATGATTTGAAGTATATATATTACAAATACACATATATCTGATAGATGACTAAACCTAGCTAATTAGCCTAATTAATAAATACAAACATTATTTTAATAATTATCACCTTGTGCTTGCAACAGCACTTACATTTCACAGCATTTTTCAAGAACACAATATATTAACTATAATCACCATGCTACACAGTGTAACTCCTGGACTTCTTACGCCAAGTTAACTAGAATTCTGTTGCTTCCCATCAACACCATCCCAACCCATCACCTAGCCACCACTTTGTGTATTTGAGATCAATTCTTGTAGCTCATCATTTAATGAGATGCCCCACTAACTGACTATGTGTGTCTGGCTTGTTTCACTCATTAAAACCACTGCACTGCCCACTTTGGATGACATGGTGAGGTTTTCATAATATGTTTTCATACATTCTAGTATTGATGGGAATTACATTGAGTCCATATTGTGAATACTGACACAGCCACAAGTGGCAGTGGGAATACTGCTTCAACATACTCATTTAATTCTTTTTGGCTGCAGATTCTACCATGCAATTACTGGGTCATGTGGTTATTCTATTCTTCTTATTTTTTGTGGGGCTGGAGATCAACCCCAAAGCTTCATGTATGCTAGGTAAGGACTCTGAAGCTGAACTGCATCTAGAATAGTTAGTTCTTTTTTTTTTTTTTTTTTTTTGGTTTTTTTTCCGGTACCGGGAACCGAACTCACGACCTTGCGCTTGCCAGGCAGGCGCTTTTGCCGCTGAGCTAAATCCCCAGCCCCTAGAATAGTTAGTTCTATTTCTAACAGCTTTCATACTGTTTTCCATAATAACTGCACTAATCTACAACAAGAACAACTGATAACACACATGAACTAAGGACCACAGAAACACAACCTAATCAGGGTAACAAAACACGAGACGCTGACCAAGTGAAAGATCTGCATTATCTAAATAATTCAAAATAATCACATTGGAGGTGCTGAATTAGATCAACAAAACGTAGATAACTGAACCAGGAAAATGAGAATATTAGCAAAGAGATAGAAACTAGAAATGCTGTGGCTGAAGAATTCAATGAGAAATAATGCCTGAGAAATCCTCAGACGTGAGGCAGAAAAGAGACAAGTTCAAGAAGTTCAATTATCTCTCACTAGGATAAACAGAATGAGATTTAAACTAAAGTACATTAAAATCAAAGTGTCAAAAGTCACAGAAAACACGCCTGAGAGAGCACTGTAGAAAAAAGTAAGGTGTCATCTACAAAGATTCTCCAGTGTGATTCCCAGCTGATTTCTCTGCAGAAACCTTGAAACCCAGAAAAGATCAGGGAAGTGCTAAACGAACAAAAACTACCAATCCAGAATGCTGCACCCAGCAATTTTGAATTACTGAATGAGGCTGCCTGAGACACCTTTAAGTCCGCTATGCAATTTGAAAGATGAAAGCATAAAAAACCATCACAGACACCTGCTGGCGGATGGTGTACACTGTAAGGATGGCTGTGACACGAAGCACGTAAACTGAGATGCACAGAGAGCCGTGATATGGAACTGCATTTTACCAGTTCAAAATGCCCCTAAATTTTAAAGTACCTTCATACAATCCCCATGGTAATGACACAAGGGAGACCCCTGTAAGATAAAAGGAAATGAGGCAGGCGTCAAGGTGCATCTCTATAGAAATAAGTGACACAAAACTCAAGTAATAAGAAAAAAGAGGAAAAACAATTACAGGAAATATAGAAAACAATTAACAAAAGGGAAATATGAATTTCTTCCTTTTCAGTAATTTAAGTAAAGTAGATTCAACTCCTAATCAAAACAATAAGTTAGCTAATGAAAATGAAGCTAAAAGACTCCAAATATATGCTATCTATTGGAGATTCTTTTTACATCTAAAGACCCCAAAAAAGAACGAAGTGAAAGGATGGCATATTACATGGAAAAGTGACCAAAAGAGAGCAGAGTGCTGTCATAATTCTACAAAAAAAATTTTAAAACAAAACTATCATATGAGGTAAAATACAATCCAAGTCAAAAATTCTCACATCAGATACAGGATGTTACACAAAAATAAAATTGCTACTCAATCATAATATCTAGGATAAAAACTAAAAACATTACTAATCTATCTGAGGAAACATACTCTAAAGAGTGAAAAACAGGAAATAGGATTGAGAGAGAGAAAGACAGAAAGGGAGGGAGAGAAGGTAAAATCCTGAATAAACACTGAGGTACTACTTCTCAAAATCTTTCTTTTTGGCTCTAACTATACACACATGAAGAGCGGGCGCTGTGAATACTGACACTCAGTGCACGCCAATTTCACACATGTCCACTGTAATTCATAAAGCAACTCTATTAAATATGTAAAGGGCATTCGAGCAACTTCTTAATGAGGCCATTAGCACATCACAAGGGACTGACACTGAAGTCTGGAGAAACATGACAGGATGAGGATGAGGACACACAAGCAGGGGCAGAGCAATCAGATCGGGCAGGGCTCGCAGGGATAGAGGAGGACGTGTCACTCTCAGTGTCCTGGTGATCACTGCAGGGAGAAGCCGTGGCGGACGTCACAGGAGTTGGCCATCTGTGACAGGGAAAGAGATTCACCTTGGCTTCTGAAGATCATTTCCAGAGCTCCATTCGGAGAGGAAAGCCTGGCTTCAGGGCCACCACGGCCAACCAGGCAGTGGCAGCACAGGCGGGAGGCACCAATGTGCACTGGAGGAAAGCAGGGCACTGAGGCTTGAGGGCAGAGAAAGCCAGACACAGGGAACGTGCTGGGTCCAAGCCCAGGACTCGGGGCTTAGAAGGGAAGCCGGGCGCTTCTGGACAGGAAATCTCACCCAGGGGCCCTGAGGAAAGGAGCCAGCATCCCCGCCATGGCCAGGCTGCTGCAACAGGCTCCCAACCCTTCTACTCCCCCCAGGAGGAGGAACACAGCGGATGAGAAATTCACCAACCAGCACAACGGAGGGTCACAGTGGTGAGCACTGTACAGAGAAACCCCACAGGCCTCGGGAGGTTGCACACCAACACACTGTCCTGATGAGGGACCCGATCTGCGCTGACAGACCTGTGGCCCAAGGACCGTGCGAGCCAGCAGTATCTGTGAGGAGCAGGGGAGAGGAGACCAGACAGTCCCCCAAACAAACACTGCCCGTCCACCCCCCTCAGTAGGAGTGCTGTGACCACAGGACACGTGCACGCAGTCTACCACCCCTATGTGCACCACCACAGGAACCCCAAACACCTCCTGCTGGACGCCAAGGGGCCACCAAGTTTGTGGGGTGATGCTGTGGAGTGAATGAGGGAGGGCCATAGCAGAGAGACAGAATGGTGCTCAAGGCAGACAGAGGTGGAGGGAAAATTATACAGGCAACTGCAGGATCTGCCATGCAGGGAAAGGAGTGGGGACTAAGGAGGCCCAGGCGGAAGTCAGGGGATGAGTGGGCACTGGGTCAACTGGACCACACCCCCCCTTCCTGAGTGAACTGAGGCAGCAGGACCTGGGGCCAAAGGCAAAGGGTCACAGTAAGCTGTTCCTGGAGTGACAGACAAGCCTCCTGCTCAGATTGGAAACCGAACAGGCCACAGGGCAGGTAGGTGTGTGTGTGTGTGTGTGTGTGTGTGTGTGCGCGCGCGTGCGTGCACCAGAGACCTGTGAGTGAACTCAAGATTGCACTGCAAATGCAACTGTCAGGCTGCTTTGATTTTTGCAACCCCCAAGTTTCTTTTGTGTGTTTTCTTCTTTTTCCTCACTCTTATTTATCCACTTTCCTTGGGTTATTTTTTTGGTCTTTTTGACACAGTCTCACTATATATTGTTCAGACTGACCTTGCGCTCACTTTGTAGCCCAGGCTGGTCTCAAACTTGCAGTGTATCTCCTGAATCAGCCTCCCAAGTGCAGGGATTACAGGTGTAGCCACCACGCCCAGCTTCCTCCTCTTTTCATATCCCTTTAATTTCCCTCTCTCACTCCCTCAATTCACCTGACACATATATAGGAGATGCCTGAATATGTACAAAGGAGAGTAAGAATGAACCAGCACTCTCTGTCACTTAGGTAGTTCTCATAAAACTGCACCTAGAGGATCCAAACACAAGCTAACCTACCAGTCCAATATCCTCACAGCCCCCTCAATCTTCGAGCACACCTTCTTGTGTCCCTTCGTCTCCTCTCACAAATATTCTCTCAAACCTTAACACCAGCCCTTCACTCCCATAACAATAATTCCAATAGAGTCTGGCTATTTCTCTTTTACTTACTTACATATTTCCTTTTTCCTTCCTCTCCATCCACATCCCAGTCTACCTGTTAGCAGAGTACACTACAGCCTGGGGCACTGATAAATGGTTAAAGTGGTTAAAACACCTCCTAACACATGATTATGTATGTACGGATCCATTTTGATATTGATGTAACTGAAACACAATGATTGGTCTGACACTATGAAACTGAGTAGGCGTAGTGGTAAAGACTAAAATGTAACCAAAGCCAAGATTGCATCACTGGAGTTTAGATATCAAGTCAGATCAACAAAGCTGCCTCATTAATCCTGAATCCTCAGCACATAAAAATATGGGGCAACAAGGAATACAATGTACCCCAAACTCCCAATTCCCCCAAAGCTGCTCCAAAGGGCATCAATGGGAAAGAAATGAAAAACCAACTGGCTGGATTATGTGAAGCCATAGAATAAAAAAAAAAAAGGAGAAACACTAATAAGGTGCTGGCTGAGCTCAAAGACAGTATAACTAAGCAGATACACTCAATAAACAAGATGATCAGTAACCTTAAAGATCAGACAAAAAGCTAGCTGAGCTAACCAAAATGATTCAAAACATGAACAGTTTATTAAAGAATTATAGTTCAAAGTAAGGTACCAAACAGAAATCTAGAAGATTAAAAAGTCTACCAAAAGTATGGACAGCAGAAGTGACCAATGTGAGGACAGACCTAGAAAACAGGACTGACATCGGTAATCATATACTCAGAGATATCTTAAAAACAACAAGAAATCACAGGAAATGGACCTAACAGCTGCTAGACGATGTGGAAAAAAAAAAAGAAAAGCTAAGCTAAGATCAATTTGAATTAGAAAAAAATGAGAAGATGGCACAGATAGCATAAAAAACCTACTTATAGAAATCACAAAAAACTTTGCAAGTACGGGAAAGAATTCAACATACAGGGAAGTGAGACATACAGAACCCCAAATACCCATGACCAGAAAATAACTTCTCCATGACATGTGATAGTCAAAATCCCGAAAGCCCAACACAAGGAGAATCTTAAAAGCTCTTAGAGAAAAGCAACGAATCACTGAAAAAGGTAAACTTATTAGAATTACAGCACGAACACAAACCTTCAAGGCCAAGAGTGAAATGTTTCAAGCCCTAAAAGAAAAAACTTACAACTCAGACTAATACATCCTATAAAACTACTTCAACATTATGGAGAAATAAGGACTTCCCATGACAAAGAGACCCTTAAGAAACTCATGACCACTGAACCAGCACTCCAAAATATTCTCAAGGATGGAAGCATTATGGAGATTCCTTGAAAACTAAAAATAGATATTCCATTTTACCCAGCTTTTCCCAAAGAGTTAAAGATATCATATTATTCATCCATGCTAAACCATGCTTATAGCAGCACAATTCATAACAGCTAAATCTTGGAAGTGGCTTCTATTCCCATCAACAGATGAACAATTAATGAAAGCATGGTATGTATACACAATAGAGTACTACTCTGCTATAAAGGATAAATTTGCGTCATTTGTAGGAAAATGGATGCAGCTTGAGGCCATAATGTTTAATGAAATAAATCAGACACACAGGTTTAAATAGTGAGTGGTTTCTCATATTAAAAACCCAAAGTATAGTTTGTACAGCAAAATAAAAGACAGGTAATAGGAAATAGGGAGAGAGATCTTTTACAAATGGGAAGAGGATGCAGAGTGGACAGGGGTGGAATGAGAGGGCAAGGGGAAAATAAAAAGTTGTGTTATGTCCATGTGTCAATTCCCCATGACGAATCTAATTATGTACAGCATACGTGTGTTAAGAAACATTAAAAATGATAAACCCTAGCTACATCCTTGACCTTCAGATCTCTCACCTGTGTGTGCTGCTTCACCTATTCCTACCTACCTGGAGGTACGGCTGCTCTCTTTTGTGTCTCCACATTCCAGGGATCTCTGCTTTGCTCCAGACAGGTGACCAGGTGGGGCTTAGAGACAGCGAGACCTGTTTGTACCAAATGGAACATGACACACGCTTGAGATTCTCCAACAACTACTGACATGTTTCTCCTCCTGCAGCGTTCAGGAGAAAAGAGAAGATACCATGGAAGATTCTAGAAAATTATTTCTTCAAATGCTGTTTTCCAAAAGAGCCATTAGACTATACAGCAAGCATTTTACTTTGACATCCCAAGCTTGACTTTCAGTTATTTCTAAATCAAAGCCATGGGGTAGAGAATGGTCTTTAAGATATGAGATATAGGCAACCACATTTTGTGCCAGTGAACTTGCAAAATGACTCCTAATCTAGCATGAAGGGTGTGTGACACCTCAAGAAAGGGAGGGGCTACAGACAAAAATGAACAGCATGAACATCTTGCCTATAGCAAGCAGCTTCCATTTCCTCTGCGAACGGGAACCTAAAACTCATTCATGAAAAGCAGCAGCTCCCAAGAGATGTTTCCAAAGGGAAGGAAATTAAATGTCAACAGTGAATCAGGAACTCTGCAGGGAATCTTCTCACCCAGGGAGAAAACGTTTCTGTAGTTCTCTAACATCACGTCCCTATACAGAGTTCGCTGAGCAGGGTCCAGGCATTCCCATTCCTCCACAGAGAAATCAATGACCACGTCTCTGAATGTCAACAGCGCCTGAAAAAAAAAAAAATAGCATATTGACCATGCAGTCACTGACAGAGTTCTTCATTGGACCCAATATGAAATGAGAGATCAGCTTCTGACGTAAGTGAGAGACCCTAAGGATTCAATAAAATATTTTAAAAACCCAGCCATGTTCTCCAAGATACTATGTAAACCTCAGGAAAGAGTATAGTAAAAGATCCACAAAACCAGGGCAGGTACAACACTTTTGAGAAAATATAAAGTGTATAATTAAGGCTCTGATGTAGGATAATACACTTTTTAGGGTGGTATTTATGTCAAAGAAGATAAGCTATCTCTATTTCTCAGGTGGAAGAGTCATGGTGAGTTAGAGAAGTCAGAGAAATAACAAATTTTATTGTTACAACCCAGACTCAGAGATATTGTTAAATGCAGGTTCTGCTTTGATCACTCTGGGGTGGAGCCTGAGTTTCTGAATACGGAGCAAGCTTACTAGTGATGTAAGGTCAGTGGTCTGCAAGACATTCTTGAACAGGTAAAGGGAGAACATCATGTAAGAATTCACAAGTAAGTGTGCCTGAACTTTAAGAAACGTACACAATTTAATAACATAACACGTACAACAACAATCCTTTTTCAATATAACAGATGGAATGCTAACTGTTTTCATAACAATGCAGAGATACACGAAAATCCATGAGAACAGTAATATTGTTTTTCCTCTCAGATGACAATGTTTTGTTAAATATCCTGTAAGTGATAGAGCCATAATTATATACACAAATTTATTTTATAAAAGGAACACACAGTTCAAAAGAACATGTCAATAATCAAAGAATTTTCAGTTTTCATAACTGAGATGAGAAATGGAAATATATTAAGGTAGTGATAGAAAATGGAGCAGGCATTATATATGTTTTATGCACATACATAAATGTTAGACATACCATAAAACAGTACATTTGATGTCAATGAAGTAAAGAAATATAATCAATTACATAAAACTTGAAAATTTATTTGGGTATGAGGCTTTATTGAGACACTATTAAGACACTAAATTCAAGGATAGGAACTAAAAGGAAAGCTACATTTTAGCGGGGCATGGTGGTGAACACCTATAACCACTAAGTTTGGGAGGCTGAGGCAGGAGGATGACTATGAGTTTGAGGACAGCCTGGGCTACATAATGAGTTCAAGGCCATGGGCTACATAGTGAGTTCAAGGCCAGTATGAACTACTTTGTGAGATCCTGTCTCAAAAAAAAAAAAAAAAAAAAAAAGGGAAAGAAAGAAGAAAGAAAGCTACATCTTGAGTTTGATGATTTACTGGACCTTTTTCCTTTCATTTATGATTTGAGTTATAATTTAGAAATTTAAGACTCTGTGAAATATAGTTTTGTTGTTTCCTTCAGCTGAAAATACAAAGAAGTCATAGAGGTGTGTGCCACTGAGGTGGGATAAAATTAAAACCTAAGGATTAAGTAATGCAGCAGTATCTCCAGTAAACCAAAGTTACAGTCTGCATTGTCAAAAGCACACTACAAGAGAAGTTTTTTAAAAAAAGCTTCCACATTAAGTATGGTTCATACAGGTTATTACATAATTTCTGCCCAATAATTACTGATAAAGAGGAAAGTAATTTTTACACTGTAAAATCTGTCTGATAGCATTTTAACCAAGAGAATGAAGTTAAGTCAGCCATAAGAGGAAAAATAGGAATCAAATGTCAATGCACAGAGCTGCTATGATGTTAGCGGCTAAAACCAAACCAAAAAAGTGAATCTTGGTCTCAATCTACTGGTAAAAAGTGTTACATAGAGTTCAGGCTGTGCACCTCCCTATAGTCTGTGAACTCTCATAAAGTAGAAAGAATGACTCTTGTAATTATATTCACTTTTCGGAGCTCCCAAGTTATTCTGGGCAATGAACATAATTCTCTTCAAGTGAGAGTCTTATTCATTCTTTTGTGTACACAGCTGTTGGGAGGATCCAGAAGGAATGAAAACACTGCACATTTCCTTTCTTTAGCGATATCCAAAGGTCCTTTCACACACTCAGGGATGTCTAGATACCAACACCTTCCCCCGCTCATTGTCAGAAAGAAATCATTTTCAATAATGAAGGGTACTGATTCAGCCCAAGAAATATTTGTAGTAGTAAAAGACTGAAATAAAAGAATAGAGGAGAAGCTCTGAATGTAGTGGAGAAACATTTTAAAGACTTAACTTAGTATCCTAAGAACAAATGTAAATATAATAGTTGGAAAGAAAACCTCTGCTAAGCAAGAATATGAAAACTAAAGTAGTAAAAATATGCACATCCTAAATAAAAGGTGCTTCTGAAAGTAAAACTTGACACAGGCCCTAACCTGCAATACATTTACCAGAGGAAAAGCCATTTCTTTCTTCTTCTTCACTGGGCTTCTTCCTCAGGACAGAGTATTTCTATAACTCAAAGCTGCGCTGAGAATCTGCCTATGAGGACATCAGAACACATGGGCTTGAAGGACCTCCTTGTGGTGGCCTGAGATTGGTATAAGCTTGCATGAGCCTCTCTACCTTTTATTTTTATTCATACGGTTTTAAATAACAAAGTGTCCAGTGTTTAAAGAGTCCAGTGAAGATAATGAAACTCAGTTTTTATGTCTGAAGGAGGGAACAACCTCGTAAGGCATTTCCCACCTCCAGAGGAAAAGCCAAAGTATCTCCCCTTTTAGGTAATATGTACACCATTTCACTGATATTTCCGTGGTAAGAAGAACTGAGCAGGCAGTAAGTCACATGTGAACATATCTAGGATTTGACAAGTTCTATCCCATAGGATTCTGTATTAATCTTCAATGTCCAGATATCAGAATGGAATAGAGGACACACTGTCAGGAATGTTTAAAAAAAGCAACTGAACTCATCAGTTAACCTACTACACATTCTTGAGAAAATGTACTAACTTTTCTACAACCATAATGGAAAGGAGATTTCCCTCTTCACGACTTATTACCAAAGCTAAGCGCTGGAGTTTCACTTGAGATCTCCTGAACACGAGCACACTCCTCCCAACATGAGCACAAAAATTAACTATTGTAATTCCGGGGGAGAAAAAATGGTGAATGATATACTACAAAGCTATAGTAACAAAAACAACATGGATATCCCACAGGGATACAGCAGTACTAAACCAAAGAGCTGAAAGCCAGGGTAAAGGGGCATGAAGAGGTATACCCAGGGGGCTGGGGATTTAGCTCAGTGGCAAAAGCACCTGCCTAGCAAGTGCAAGGTCGTGAGTTCGGTTCCCGGTACCGGAGAAAAACCAAAAAAAAAAAAAAAAAAAAAAGAAGAGGTATACCCAGGAAGAAATATATAATAAAGCAGGGAGGGATTTATACTGACCAGCCACATTCTAGGTCTTGGTCCAGTTTTATAAATAGTATTAAATGCCACTTTTATACAGATGTCATATGCACACGGTACTGCACATGTATACATGTGTTACAAAGAAAATATACAGAACTTGTGAGAAAACAAAAGTTTACAGAGGCACATAAAAACACTTTATAAGATACAGAATGAGTACAATAGCAAAACTCATCATGATATAGACCACTGTATGCAAATTTAATCTATTATACTATGAAGTTTTCAATAAGCTTTTTTAAAAAATTAATTTTATGGGTACACATTTGGCATACAGAATGATCACATGCATCCTAGGGAATTCAATGAGCTTTCTTTTTGGTAGATGGCACCAAAACAAACAAAAAAAAACTTATTTAGGAAATTAAAGATATACAGTAAAACCTTGGATTGCAAGTAACTTGTTCTACAAACATTTCTACTAAATTTTAACTTGATGAATGAGCAATGTCTTGCAGTTATGAGCAGTGTGTGACACTGAATATCACATGCTCACAACAGACAACGGCACCTCTCTCCCTCCCTCCCACCTTCTCTCTCTCCGGATTGTGGATGATCAACTCCCAAAATCAACAGGTTATGAAGAAGATCTCTTCCTCAGAGGAGGCCAAAAAGGCAGAGGAATCCCTCACTTCAAATGAGATTAGGGAGATGTGTAAAATGTAAGAAACAGTGTAAAATTTTGTAGAAAAGCACCACTTGAACAAGGCTGTATCAGTGAGTGATGAACCTGTTTAACTATAGGTTCATATTTCTGCAAATTTCTCACAAGGAGACAAAACAAGTGCCACTGGATAGGTTCCTTGTTAAAGTTGCACAGAAAGAAAAAGATTCCATTGAGCTAATAAATAACAGTGATTCTGTTAGTGATACTGAAAGTTGTCTTCAACAAAAACCCTCTACTCTGATCTTCACACCAGCCACGAATGTTTAGAGCTGGTGGCATAGCTCACGGGTAGAGTGTGTAGTTAGGATTTAACCAAAGTACTAGGAAACAACAGATGTTAAGGGAGGATGTTGTTGGAAATACAGCAGAACAGGCAGTCACTGACTCTTCCTCCATCCACAGACAATGAATGACCATCTACTCGTATTTCAGGATCCTCTGAGGCAAAGTCGAGTCAAGAAACTTGTCTACACTGCAATTCGGAAAGCATCCACAGCAAATAGTAGGCACACTGAGCACAGATCCTGCCTTGCACAAGGTGCCATTTAACTGGAGAAGAGTTTCCAACATCTCACATCACCTTGAGGGCAAGAAGACTGGGACTATTCACGTAGCACCCAAACACTAAAGTTCCCTATGGCTTGGCTTTTAATATGCCTACAACTGGGAGAGAACAGTACTAGGTATACACATGTCTCTAAAGAGCAAAGGAAAAGTGGTGTTGTGTATGGTCACATAAGCACCTGCACAAGCCTCATCCCTTGGGTAAGGGCAGGGAAGGGATTAAAGCAACAGGCTCCAGTTTCTCCGTGGAGGGGGTTTTTCAGCCTGTGTTGCCACCTGCTGTTGCTCACAGTTAAGCTCTGGTTAAGCCTACATGAGGGAGTCAGTAACACAATATCAGCAGACATCTAGCAGCCTGAGCGGAGCTCAGCACTTCCTCTAGGTCAACAGTTCCTCCTGGACAGTCTGTCCATGGAAGAGAGTACTAGTGACACAGTCTGACAATGTCAGAGGCCACTGCAGAGGACAAACTCCTGGGCCATTAACCTGTTACTCATTAAAAGTATGATCTGTGTTTGCATCTAAGATGTACAGGGACTTATGTGTGATTTTGCCAAAAATTGTGGCTTTCATGTGGGTCTACAGATCCCCAACATGGAACTACAAAGAACAAAGCTTGACCTTCACTTTGTACCCTTTATTATCTTAAGACTTGGAATATAGGTATGTTAATTTTTCAAAAGTCGGCAAAATAAGGTTTATTCAGCTTAAATTTACCTGGTCTACCTCATCGCCTTTCAAAATTGAGCACATCATAAGACTAAGTAAATATGCAAAGTTTACAGATGCCAATTTTTACAACATGCAGTTCGAGACCCTCCCCTAGAGTGAGGCCTAGAAGGATCTAGCTATTGTCCCAAACTCCAGGTCACCTTGGATCCCCAGAGAGCCTCACAGACTGAAATATCATCATTGTCAGGTAATAAAACTGCCCTTTTGCCCATGAGGATTCCTCCATAACTACAAACCTAGAACTGAAATAATGACCAACCAGGCTCCAACCCACCACAACACCCATGAACCTGGTGCCCTGTCTTCTGTGGGCAAGCCAGGCCAGTCTTCTTTGTGAGTAAGCCCCTCCAGCTACTCAAGCTCAAGTCCTTCCTTTACCTTCACTTTCACCTTTTAATTCAAGATTCTGACTGTAATTTACACTTAATTTACTTTAATATCCAGTATCACTAAAGCAAGGGCCCATACTATCTATCAACACTCATTTTAACACCTTCCTCTCAGTGGATGACATCTTATACTTCTAAGTGCTGGACATGGAAAGTGTGTAAATCCTCGCAGATCACAAGCAGTTTTGATGGGTGTTCCGAGGGCTCAAACCCCAGTGGCAGTGCACTGAGGAGATTAAAGACCACAGATCCCTGTGTACTCCTTCTACTCTTCCCGTCACTACCCAGTAGCCTGGATTCTAACAAACTTGCATTAGGAACTGAATGCAGCAAACAGCAGACTTCCTGCAACTGGGTACAGTTTTAAGAATGAATGGTTTTACCATAAGGTTGGAATATAACAAGTGCTCAAGAGGTCACGAATACAGAAAAAAGGGAACCCTCTACAGTACAAATTTATAACAGTATTTTCCAAAATAGTACGAATAGTCTTTGAAAGCTAAAGGCAGAATTATTATGCGATTCGGCACTCAGTCCTGGGTGTTGGCTCAAAAGAGTGGAAATCAGTGTGACAAAGCTGTGGCTGCACTCCCATGTTCACTGTAGGTGAGATACAGAAACACATCAGGTGCATTTAGGTGAAGATTTATCAGAGTACTGTTCCCAGTCCCAGGGCATCCAGCTCCCCTGAGAGGTCCCACTCACACCTCAGGCTGTTCCTGGAGGAAAGGACCAGGGGCTGATGTTCACTAGTCGCTCCAAGGGACGGGGACATGGTAGCTGTGGGCACCTGCTGTCAGCCTGAGGTCAAGCAGTCCCGAGGTAAAGACTGGGGTAAGTGGCTGAGGACACGTCATGTGGGTCTAAATTCCACGGGGAAGCTCAACCCAAAGACATTTGGTAAGATGTCTGCAGAGAGAAGGCAAAAGGAGAGGCACAAAGATTTTCTAAGAAGGCATCAACTGCTTCTTTTCTGCTTTCCTCTCATGTGAAATGTTCAAAATCAGAAAACTCTTAAAACATGTCCTACACCAGTGCATGGTGCTGTCTGCCTGTAATCTCAGTACTCTGGGGGGCTGAGGCAGAAAGACTGCAAGTTTTCGCTCAGCCCAAGCAATTTAGCAACTTAGACCCATTCTCAAAAAATAAGATAAATAAAATAAAATAAAAAGGAGTGGGAGATGTAGCTCAGTGGTAGAGCACTCCAGGGTTGGAGCGCCAGTAGGAGGCTGCGGGGGGCGGGGCACATGGAAGAAAAGGACAAAACGCTGCGTAGCGCTGAAATGCAGGACGGAAACACACGGCTGAACGCGCACAGGTGCCTGGAGCTGGGCAGCTGGACCTGCAGGCCGAGTTTAGGGGAACCTGTCACCGACCTCGGGCAGGGCTGGGCCGAGCCCCCTCCGGCTCTCAGGCACGCTCGCTACTACTCAGGAAACCAAGTGGGCAGGTCGCTCCCTACGATCCTCCGGGTCGCGGAGCCTGGCGGGGAGCCGGGCCAGGGCCCAGGTCACTCCCAGCTTCAGGGGACCGAACAGAGGACCCAGGCTGCGCCCTGGCCACGGACAGAGGGGAGGTCTGGTTCCGCCACGCCAGTTCCCACGCTCCTAAACAGCTGCACTCCCCCCTCTCAAGGCCGCCACGAGCTCACCATTTCCGTGCCCTGGTGGCCGGGGTCCTCTTTGTGGCTCTCCCAGCACGCACAGGTGACAGGACCCTGGCTCTGACACAGCCATCCGAGACTCCCAAAGAGGAGACCGAGCCGGAAGCAGCCCAGGACCATGCTCCGGAAGAAATAGCCTGCCAACGCAGAGAGCCCACCCCCTTCCAGTATGACTGCGCTTCTAATTGGACAATTCTCACACTCCCCCTCCCACTCCCGTTCTGATTGACAGTAGATGGTACCAACCCCCATGGCTGAATGAGGCCACAGAGTAAATTCTTGGCACCAGCGCCCCCTACCCCTATGCTGGGATTGAACCCAAAACTTCCGGAGACAAGGCTGGAAAACGGGGCTTAACCTTGTGGAGGGAAAGGGCAACACAGAGGAGACACTGGCATTTACCCTTGTATATAACACTATGTCGATTCAGAAATTGTGAATGTATGTGTGCATAATTTAGAGATGGGAAGAATGTAATGACAATTATTTTAAAAACTCACTTGAAACAAGTGTGGTGTCACAGGCCTGAAATTCCAGCGCTCTGGGAGGCTGAGGCAGGAGGATCACAAGTTTGAGCTCCGCCTGGGCAAGGTATTGTTATGTTTTTATTTTAAAGAGAGAAAAAAAAAAAAAAAAACACCAAAATTTCAAAACAAGGTAATAGGAGGGTAACAATGATTGATACATGGCATATTGTTATCTTTAGATTAGTTACTCAGAGTACAGGATATCGGCATTTAGTTGTCCAAACAATACTAGCACAAACCTTTCTTTTCAATGAACTAAGGAAATTAGTACTATAACTATCTTAACTAATGTGTGTGTGTGTGTGTGTGTGTGTGTTTGCTTTTTTTTTTTTTTTTTTTTTTTTTGCTTTTCTCTTCCTTCATTTCTTCATTGCCCCAAGTCTGGGCATAGAGATTAAAGAGTCATAGCTCTCAAGCTAGGAATTGAGAACTCCAGCACTCCGGGAAAATGGCTACTGGGCAATGAGGTGTGTGGAGACTTACAATGGAGAGTGAATGTTAAATATTTAGTGCAAAAAAAAAAAAAGTGTTAATTCTAGGAAATTTTAAAGTGATCCTGCCTCAAAAAAAAAAAAAAAAAATAGCTGAAGATGTATCTCAGTGGGTTCAAAACCCAGTACTACACACACACACACACACACACACACACACACACACACACACACTGCATTTTACTTTAGTTTTGCATTCTCTGCTCTTCTTAGGAGGCAACTTTAGCTTTCAAAGGGAAAGCATTTCCCTTAGCAGTATCAATCCAATAAAATGGGCTCCTCATGGGGCTTGTCGTTAGCTGACGGGCAACAGGGTGGTTCATTTCTGGAGGACGAGGTGGCTGTGCACTAGGGTGCCTTCACTGTCCTCCTCCACAGCTCACCCTCCCGTAGGTTATGGTGGGTGTATTGTCAAGGAGATGGATGGTTCAGAAAGCAAAAGCAAAAGCAAAAGCAAAAGCAAAAGCAAAAGCGTTCAAGACCTTGACAGCCCAGATACCAAAGGAGTCCACTTTTAGAACTGCAGTGCTGTCTGAGCTGTAGCAAATACCCACAGTTTGGGAACAGATTCTGCCTCCTGATGAGAGCATCACTAAGATCACATTTCTCGAGTCAAGACTACAGGGAAGGATGAAGAGTTGCTGACGTTTTTATTATACTCGGTGTCACTGTGCCTTTTCTTGAGGATGAGATTTTATGTAACTGTTCAAGTCAAGCAGCTTGTCTAAAATCCCACAGACTGTTAAGCAGACCAAACACCATGGAGTTAACCAACATCTTTTACTGAACTACCTTCAAGTTGTTTCGTCAATGAATGTAAAAATTTTTGCTGCCCAGTTGTTGCCTTTTGGTCTTACCAGCTTTCTGTACTTAGCATTCTTTGCTGGGCCCGAGCTTGACTACTCCTCTTGTCTCTGGTTGGGCCCTGTACCACAAGGACTGGGCTATATGTTCAGTGGCCTGTGTTGCCTGTACTGGCCTCAGTCAGCAACACCGTCTGTAGGGGAATGCTTTGCCACAAAAAGTACTTCCTAGAATGTTAAATTCATACCAGTCACCACACGGAAGTGAAACTTGATAGATCTAGGGGGTTAATGAATGCTTAAGACACGAATAAATACCTTTAAAAAATAAAATTCACTAGATGAAGACACAAATGACCATGCTATGGCACAGACCAGAATATTGCTGTGATTCTGAGATTCTCAGAATTTTTGTGCACATATTTAAAGTTTTATTGCTATGTAACATGCATGCAGAAATACATGTGCAAAACATTCACATAAAGTTCAATAAATTATTACAAAATGAATACAGATCTGCAGCCAAAAAATAGGACCAGCCTCTGTTATGCTTGTAATAGTCACTTCCTCCTTCCCGCCCTCCTAAATACAATGAAGATCGTAAGGACTAACATTGTACATCAACTTGGTCTTTTTATACAATAATTTTATTACTGAGGCTGCACATTTGTTCATTTTTGGTTTTTTTTTTTGCACCAGGAACCGAACTTGCCAGGCAGGTGCTGTGCCACTGAGCTATATCCTTGGCCCCTGTTCATTCATTTTGATAATTTCCCTTAGCCCCAGGACATAATAGCCGCTTCCAAATTTTTTCTTGCTAATTGCAGCACACTGAGATCTTGGAGATAGTTTGTTGCCTGATTTTGACCTTATGTATTGTCTTAACGCACTCATCCTGCTATAACAACTTCAGACTGAGTCATTTATAAGCAACAGAAATTTATTTTCAGAGCCTGGAGGCTGGAGGTCCAGGATCAAGGTGTTCATTGATGCGACATCTGGTGAAGCTCTGATCTCCCTGCTTCCAAGCACTTTCTTGCTCCATCCGCAGAGAGCAGAAGCCAGCAGGGCCCAGAGGGCCCAGGTAATAGCCTCCACCATGTCCCTCTCCTGAATGCCAACTGCTTACATCTATTGCATTGGGGATTATATTGAAGCATGCATTCTGGAGGCAATACAGTCAAACTACAAAATGTACAGCGAAGGAGAAATCTTCCCTCTCACTCCCTGGGTTCAAATGTAATTACAACCTAGCATTGGGGTCTTGGCCAATGAAAAATTGTCTCTGTGCTTTTATGTCCTACATTAGGAGTAGAGATGACAATCAGTCCCCACTCCATATGGCGGCTTCTCAGAATAAGGCAGGACAGCCGTTAGCACAGGTGAGACTCTGAGGGGGTTTCCAACCAGCACAGTGTATTAGAAAGATCCTGCACTCCACTTGTACCTTTTCCACCTGCCCACACAAGAGCCCACTTTCCATGCTGCAAGCCATACAGATGCCAGAACTGAGCAGATGTCCTCCACCACACCCTTCCACCACAGCCACTGGACTGTAGTGATAGTTGCCATGGTTCCATGGTTTCCACATGCGACCAGAGATGAGTGTGCTGGCTGTGTCAGATTTCTGATTAAAAAGGGAGTCTGGGGCACCCACGTGTTTGGGAAAGGCAGGAATAGAAGGCAAGGGAAGCACCCCACACTGTCTCCCATCTTCCCTCATAGCCAGGTTTCCTCAACTGGTATGCCTTCTAGGAGCTCCCTTGGTTGATGCAACTAGTTGGAGGAGATTCCACTCCCACCCCCCATGATCCAACGACCTTCCAAATCCCCCTTCTGAACACAAGGCATTTGAGGGGCATTTTATTTATTTATTTATTTATTTATTTATTTATTTATTTATATTTCTTTTGGTACCGGGAATCAAACTCAGGACCTTGCACTTGCCAGGGAGGTGCTTATGCTACCAAGCTAAATCTCCGGCCCTTGAGAGGCATTTTAGATCTAACTCTAACAGTCATCTACCCCAAAGTCTAAAGTAATTGCTCTATTAGGGGCTGGGGATTTAGCTCAGCAGCAAAGCGCCTGCCTGGCAAGCGCAAGGTCGTGAGTTCCGTGCCCCGTACTGGAGAAAAACCAAAAAAACCAAAAAAACCAAACCAAACCAAAACAAAACAAAAAAGTAATTGCTCTCACCAACTTTTTCCAGAAAGTTTGCCAACTCCTTCTCTGGAGAAGTACCATGGGATCCATTTAACTTTTTATGCTGAGAGGAATACTTGGTAGACCAGTTATATTTTAGTGAACTTCGCCACTTGAAATAATTTTGGTCTGCATACTATCAAACTGTGTGCATAACTCTGACTAGTCATGGTTAGAATAAACACTAAGACAATCCATGCACAAGTGTTACAGCACTGGAGAAGGAAATCCAACTGCTGCCTTCTTTCATCTCAGAAATAATAAACTGGTGTGGCCGCGATCTGGACCCATATGAACTGACTTCTGTAAAATGCAAATACCAAGGAGCAACCATTCCTGTCACACCCTAGATGTGGCAAATTATGAGGGAGGGGGGCTCCTGCCTCCATGTATAAGGATTTTTCCAAGAACTTCTTAAAGGACCAAGGGATTTCTTCTCCCGACACATGCATCCATGCTTCGTGTATACTCTGTTTCTCAGTCTACACACCCCTCCCAGGTAGACACAGATTTCTGCAACACAGCTGATTTTTAACCTTAAGACTGAGACAACTGGGATAATGCCCAGCAATGACCTTTAGATGAATGAGCTGGCACCTTCTCATGTCTCAGAGATCCAAGACTTGATGTCAGAGTACCTTATGCCAATTTCTCCCTTCATGTGCAAAGATGTTTGCCTTGCCCCAACTGCATTGAACAAGACATTATTATGCCAGTGCATCTGCATTCTCAGTGTAATATGGTGTCACTACTGAACAATTACTTTTTGAGAATCTATGCCAGGTTGTTTAGATTAACACATAAAATGATAAAATGTGACAAATATTCTTGTGCCTCAAAATTGGGTATCTTAGACTAGAACAATACGACTTGGATCTGGTTTGGAGACAACTGTCTTCACTACGGCAAGTTTCTGACAAGGGAGGCTTTCAGAATGTGGTTCCTCTTGACTTCCTGACCTTCAAAGACCTGGTTGTAATGCTTACAGTCTGGGTTCATACCATAACTCTATGACCATTTAGATTTAAATTTTATTGGTTTTTTGGCAGTAGCCTTTGTTTTCACACTTTCTTGACTTTAGTACATTTTGTGGGGCTG